CAGGGGGGTTGGACTAGATGACCCACAGAGGTCCCTTCCAACCCCTACTATTCTGTGATTCTGTGATTCTGATTCAGCACTTTAAATCAGATGTCTCACCAAAAAAGAAGAAAAATCTTATCCTGAATGGTTATTCATTAAGCAATCAAATTATTCAAGGCAAAGCTTGTAAACACTTGTAACTTTGTTTAACAGCTTAAATACTAAATACAGACTGTGGTCTAAATTTGTTGTGAGCCTACATGAGAAGTTTCACCTTAACTGTTTCTCTTAACAATTTGAGGTAAAAAGACAAAAATGCAAAGGAAACAAGATTATTCTTATTGTGTTCAGCTGCCTTAGAGGCATGAAATCCACACAGGCAGCACCGTGGCAAAACTGGCATAGCTTTTGCTTATACAGTGCATGACACATGGATAAAATTACTACTCCACAGTGCTCAGAACTTGGCAGCTGCATGATGATTAACGTGAGATTCAGGCGAGGGCTGAGGGGAGTGGATTCCCACCAATACTGAGACTTTTAGAAAAAAAGAAAACCAAACCCTACAGGTTGCTATTGGGAGAATGGTAAAACACACTGTATGAATGAAAGAAGTTACGGGCAGAAGTAATACAAATAATCCACAAAAATATTTATGTAGACCTGTGCAAAAGAACCTAGAAATAAACATGAAGTAGGGGATTAAACTAAAATTTCTTTAGCATGACTATTGAGAAGTGCTGATGTTTTGGAAGGCGCACAGTCCCTATGGCATTTGCTCATGTCTGGAAAGAACTGAATATACTGCATTCACAAATTACATCCGAATTTGTTAACTCTGGCACTTTGACATAATGAAAACAACAGATTAAACTAAAAGAGAATTCATGTACATCAAATTGGTATGTGTCATCCCAGTAAACCACTGGCTGAACCGAAGTTCTGGTTTATGAAGAGTTTGATAGGTATTTCACTGTGTATTTTTACCTAAAACAGGAGTAAAATTCCCTTAGAATATTAACACCTTAGAGTAAAATTAAATGTATTCTGTTACATACTTAACATCAATGAAAAATTCCAATACACCTAAAGATCATCCTGTAGAGATGGAAGACTACACCTGCAAATACCAGCTAGACAAGAATCTGTCTGTACTTTTACAAACATATGGAACGTGTGTCACGCTGATTAGCTAGCTATCATAATACCCCTCTCAGTGATCAATATTCAAAGCTTATCAAATCTTGGTTTTAGGATTAGCGTGGCTTTAGCCTGCATGTTGTTTTCAAAGTAAAGATTGGATCTTTACCCCAAGGTGTTGATCATGTAACAGCTGGATTTGCTTCTAACACAATTTAGTGAACAGCTCTGCCATGCATAAGATGTCCAAATTTTGCAGATAACATATTGTAAATGAGCAGAGATCAAACTGGCAAACAAGGCAATAATGAAGACAGTGAGCCAACATTAAAGAGCGGGGAAGAAACACAATCTGCGTTAAAGCATTTTTCCTCATTATACAGTTTTCTTCACTTCATACTTTGTCTTAAGTGAAAACAAGGCACAGTGTATAAATAGAAAATCAACATGGAAGGGTAATGAAGACAACTTTACAAGAGCAGATGAGCATAAAAAGAGGACTGCTTCAGGTGTAAGGCAGAGAACAGAAAAAGAAACAGTGGCATAAGGACCAGAAAAAAGAATGAGAAGAGTGGTATTACAAAGACAGGAAAAACTAGTAATTAAGCCAAGGCCCACACAAGTATGGCTCTGGGGTTGTGACTTTCGGTTTTATTTTGCTCTCACTTTTACATCTGGTCTATAACAGGGTGAACTGCCTATATTAGTGGAATTACTGGTGATGTATCTCCAATGTGAAGAGTGCAGGATTGGGTCATGAGTTGTGAAAGAAACTGAGGCAGAAACTGAAAGGAGATAGCTGGAGTTCTTTAGAGTAATATTTAGATAGTTTGCTTAAAGCTGGAGAACAAGGAAAACAATTAGAAGAAGTGAAAACATAAGATAAAGAAGACAATCTTTCACATTGAATACACAAACTGTATTCAGCACCTCCTTAGATGATGGAAATGCAAACCCTGTTTACATTCCCTCTTTTTTTCCTTGGACTTGATTCACTATTAACTCTGGATTTACATCTGATTTTATACCATCAACCTTCTAGTTATTTATTTACTATGCAATCAGCAGATAAGTAAGATTCTTTGTGGTCTGAATTCACAATTCTAGTGTTTACTACTTGCTGTCATATTACCTTGCCAACAAGCGCCAACTGTCAGCTGCATGGCTATGTGTGAAGGATGGATAGGCCAATCATTGGTCACAAGGTAAGGTTCATACGTTGTTCCATCCATGTATAAGGTAACAACAGGAAACTCAACATTGACAACGTAGTAATGCCATTCTTTATCACAAATCTGAAAGACAGAATGCAAGAGAAAAATATTAATTAGCACTCATTGTCAGGTGACTAATTTTTATATCCTGTAAGTTTTAAATTGTATTGTTTCCAATTTCCACTTATAGAAACAAATAACATTATTGCAATTTACACATCACTAAGATTAAGGGACGTGTAAAACAATGTTCATAGATACTCATGGTATACATACAGAATACATTTGATAAATAGAGCCATCTTAAAACAGTCTTTGAAAACAAGGCATTGATAGAAAAATCAGGTAATTTGGTATTTGCTCTGCATTTTCACATTTGTTAATACATTACAGTAGTCTCTTAATGTCTATATCAACTTTTGAGAATACAAAACTGTATGTAAGAGATGCATACTTTGGATGTGTTGTCATAGTCACTGGGGAATCCTTATAAGCTTCAAATTAAGAAAATACATAGCACTTAGTCACTAGATTGATGAGTTGTCATCAATTCTTTGATTCAATTATCATTATTAACTTACCGCATTAGTACTTAGAATGTCCTGTGCAATGCCTCAGGACCTCCACAGTGCTAGGACCTCTCTTGTATACACACAGATGGACAAGTAGTCCATGTGTCTACCCGATTTGGGCAGGAAAGCCAAATCTTCTCTATGCTCCATCTTTTGGCCTTGAGCTTTTTCCCAGATAGCTGGCAAAATGAGGCTCTATATGGTTTCACTGATACACATCAGCTTTGAAAAGCAATGGCTACAGGTACAACACACTTTCAAGATGACAGTGTGAGTGTCGAATCTCATTTGACCTTCTGATCTGGACAGCCAGGGATTACTGCAAGATGGCCAAGCTCTGTTTCAGTTCAGAAATGTACAGCTAGATGAGTTAGAGCCTCTGAAGACAGAAGTCTAGTCTGTAAGTATTAATGCCTGCCCCATTCGTTCTTCCTTTGTTGTATCTTTCAGATTGAAAAGTTCAAAGGAATAAATCACACCAAATTGGTAGGATGGGTAGGCTGGTTTTAAAAATAAGGCAATACTTATAATCATGCTACTTTCAATTCTGTAGAGATACTTGTTTTGATGTATTGTGAAACAGAAGTGCTTGGATGCAGATATCCTTGCTGTTTCACAGAGACAAGCAGAAAAGTGATGTTTAAACACAACACTTTGTCCTTGGCCAGGTTAAGTGCTATCTGCTGTGGTATCTGCCCTTTGAAAGCAAAAGCTAATGTTTTGTTCTATAAGACATTTCAACAAGAACTTAATCACTTCTACTTCAAACAGATACATTTGTTACTGCGGACATCATAGCTCCGCAGCAAGAGATAAATGCAGCAGGGGGCTGCCAGAGCCTTCCTTTTGCAAGCAGTAGACAGCACAAATGTTTTCTGAAGGTTAAATGAACTGAAGCCAAAATTGAAAGTAAATAAATTGGAAGACTGAAAACTTTCTTGAACAAACAGCAGTCACGAATAGTATTATGCAGCCCTCCCTTTCAAGGAAAAAACAGCTTGGCAAGTTTCCTGACGCGGCCATTAGAATGTCATGCATCACAGCTGCACGCGTCAGACATTTTGTATAAAACAAAATGAATGATGTGTCTGAATGTGAGAGACCTTGCATGACAACGACTACAGGTGTTAATTCTTGACCCTTTCCAGAGAACTGTCCTAGAGTATTTCTGTTTTGCAATCTTAAACTGCGTCACTTGGGATGCCCCAAGCGCTATTAAATGAGTGAGCAATCCTCCTTATATTCAACCAAAGCAAGAGCATTTTAATACAGCAAACCCAAACATTCTGGGACATCACACACACAAAGAGCATGATAATGTGTACCTAGTCTGATTAGTCCATTGACTGACCAATAGGGCAGTTACATTTTTTCAAAGAAAATGCTTTCTGGAAACACAAGATTACAAAAATTCCACAATTCAAGACTCCAGCAAATGGGCTCCAGTGCTTCCAAGAAAAAAAATGCAGATGTCCAACTGCAGATGTCCACACTAGACAAAGCACTTACTAACCTTTACTTCTGACACATTCTGGAATATAAGATAATGCAAGTGTAGGCAGCTTGGTGAAGTCCTCAACCCATCACTTGCATGCTTTTCCTTAAATTTCAACACATGAACACTTCAAGTTTTATTTTAAAGGGAATTTAGGCACTTAAAAATCTCAGCGTGGTGTTTCCTGAGATTTCAAAAGCACCCAAGTTGGTCAGGTGCTTAATTGGCACACAAGTTCAATACAGCTTAGGTACACAGACACATGTATATTCCACCAAAAGATCTTTTAAGTATCTGTACTGGGTGCCAGTGTAAAAACACATACTGGAAGAAATAAAATTCTTTAAAAACTCTAGAATACATTCGAGTTACTCAGCAGCAGGTAGTATTTCATGCCTGGCCATTTCACAGGCAACAAAATAATGAAATAAATAGTTGTGGACTGTGATTTGTTATGCTGTCATTTCAGACACCTTCTTCGCACAGGAAGCCAATTTCTCCTCTGCATGCATTGCACAGTAGCAATGGAATGAAATATGACTGCAGTGAAGCCATGAAAATAAAATCATAAAATAGACTAGTTTGGCAAATAAAGAAATTTTAATAATCTCAAGAACTTTATTTTTAAAAATCTAATTTATAAAGCTATCCTAGTGAGATAAAATTACAGATGAGTAAGCTTGGCTTTCAAAGACTGCTGGATGGCTAGGCTGGTCTAATCACTCTATCACATCAGTCTACCTCTAAAATCTATTAACCAAATCACACTGAATTAAACAGCTTGAAGTCTTGATGATTACAAGCTATTGCACTGGAATATGCTTTCATGCAATATATGAAAACAGACTCCATATAAACCCTATGTAGTAAGTTTCCCAAGACAGTAAAGCTCTTAGCATCTTCTGATGAAGAACATTGGAGATTTTTCTGGTTTATATTGGAATGCTTAGGAATGGACTGAAACCAAAGTATTTTGGTCTGAGAAGCACATGGTGCTTAGAAACAGACTTTGTTGGTCTGCAAAATATCTTTTTTACAGCTTTGTATGTAAGGGCTAGGCATGTGCACATGAGAACACGTACTTCACAGTTAACAGCTTTTTTAGTCTCACTTAGATCAGCTGGGGCATACTCATGCAAAATAGATCATTCACCTGTTTGCTTAGATACACAGAGAGAACTTGGACTTCGAGAGGTGTCCCAGTGCCTCAGTTCGATATGGAAGAGCCATGCATGTTTGCTACCCTCGGACTAGCTGTCTGAAAGTCCGCTATGTAATATCCAGCAGACCACTGTGTCTGACCTCGTGAACAGCTCTGCACATCCTGTCGGTGCTACTCAGTTGCGTACTTTGAGTCTATCCCTTCAGAGATGAGAAAGCAGATACTACCTCCATCATTCTGGTTTGTGGGACTTTGCTGAGGAATTGTTCTCAGAAGACACTCAAATATCCACAAAAAAAAAGCATCAGGAAGAAAGAAGAAAAGGCAGGCAAAGAAAGCTCTCTACTTACTGTAAATCATTGCTTAGTGCAGATACGAGACACAAACTCCTACTTTCTGCCTAAGTGGTCTGAACCGTTACTTTGTACAGGTTGGTTGATGCAAACACCTTAATCCAGCTCTGAAAAACGGAGCGGGCCACTCTTGAAGCCTTTTGTAGTGTCTTCACATGCTCTGAACCTCTCGACATCCCCCCCCACTTACTCAGCATTTGTTAGACCACATTGTGGAATTATTAGTAAAATTAAGGTTTTACATCTGAAAATTAAAGTTTATATGAAAAACGTAGCATTGTTCACCCATTGAGGAAAAGCATAAAATCAAAAGGAGCTCTGAGGATGGGACACAGTTGCAGCAGGCATGCGAGGAACCCACTAACACAGCAACTCCCTGCAACACACCATAGAGGACAGAGCGGAGTGGTGACTCCGTGGCCATGCTCCGTGATGATAAAGCAGGAAGAAATGGTCCTCTAGAACTGATAAGCAGCTCATCTGGCCCCCTGAAGCCAACATGTTTTTGAAACCTTGCCAAAGTACTATCCTTTTGTGAACTTTGCTCATTTTAATATCATTTTAATACAAAAACTCCCCTCCATCCCGAAGGTCCCCGCCTCCGAGGTGCGACCACTCCTCTTCAAGTCTGCGCCCTCGATTTTTTGTAAACTATACCTTTAAAAATGAAGCGAGAGAATTTTACACCAATATTGATAAAAGGTATGTATGACTACAATCACCCAAACTCCACCTTAAATGTAGAAAGGATATAAAAATTGCCAGGGAAATAGGGGATTTTTGGAGAAGATAACACTGTGAGTAAGTCAAGGGAAACTCCATCTCAGACTGCCTCTGACTACCGGGATCGGCTGACGGGCTGAGTCTTGCTTCTCCCCCCCTTGGGTTCCCTTGGATGAGACTTAGACTAAGCGCTTTTCTCAGGAATCTTAGAAATCTCTCTAGAGAGTTACTCCCTAACGTTTATAGCCATGCTGTATTATTTATAACCTTTTCACGCATTTTATACTTAATAAAGTCATATTTGCACGTGCTTTCTTGCAGATAGTCACTATCACCGGCAATTCAAAAAAACCTATATACCTGTTGCACAAATAAAACTGCACTGTTCTTTCTTGGCAGCCAGGGCACACTGCTGGCTCATGGTTAACCTGTCGTCCACCAGGACGCCCAGGTCCCTCTCCACAGAGCTGCTCTCCAGAAGGTCCACCCCAAGCCTGTACTGATGCATGGGGTTGTTCCTCCCCAGGTGCAGGACCCTGCAATTACCTTTGTTGAACCTCATCAGGTTTCTCTCTGCCCAACTCTCCAGCCTGTCCAGGTCACGCTGAATGACAGCACAGCCTGCCGGTGTATCTACCACTCCTCCCAGTTTTGTGTCGTCAGCAAACTTGCTGAGGGTACATTCAGCAAGTTAAACTATACCTTTAAACATGAAGCGAGAGAATTCTACACCAATCGTGCTAAAAGGCATGTATGACTACAGTTAGAAAGAATAT